ACTCCTTCCAGGTCATCTCCCTGACCATGCCCTGTGACTGATACATGGACAGAACCTTTGCTGGACAATATATATATTTCATATGCTCTCAATGGACTGTAGGTATGCTAAATGAGCTCGTTCATATTTAAGATGCATGAGCTCATTCACTTGGTTAGCCATATCTGTGGGTGACTTCCCAGTGCGTCTCAGCTCATCCATGACTGACTTACAGATGGCCTTCTTGTAAGTAAGAAATGCAGGCAGGAGGTTGGTGAATCTTCTGGGCAGCTTCTCCAGCCAGCGAGGACTATCAGCAAACCAGTTCCTTCGACAAGACTTGCAGCAAAGCCTGGAGGACAGGATGTAATATTGACCACTAGTCCCAACTATCACCCGAGGACGGCCCACACCAGCAGAAACAACTTGTGGTTTAGAACAGCCATGAAGACATGGTAGATTGTAGTTGTTTTTCAGCCTGGACATAATTTCATTTTCAGGTTTCCAAATGAAGAATGGGTGAAGCTGAAAGAAGTTGGGTGATGGAAGTTCAGCTACTGTCTGTACTAGCTCAGGCTGTGGAGGATGACGCCAGAGGGAAATTGCATTTCCAAGATTCCGCACAGGACGAGACCCAGGCCAAAGTCCAAGATCTTGCATCTCTGTCCTCATCCACAGTTTCTGGTGCTGAGAGCAGTTCCAGCTGTTCATGTCAGTGTCAAGTTCAGGCAGAGGAYCAGTGATGGGTGGCTGAGCTGAGGAAACTCATAAAAAAACACACACATGCAATTAGGATTCTATTTAAAAATCTGTGTTCCAAATACTAGATAAATTGTTTACAAAATATCTGAAAGAGTGTGAAAATGCTTTTAATAAATCCAACTACTCAGAGTAAAAAAATACTGGTTTTGGATGCAGTCTGCACTTACCATCTTCAGCACTGCCTGCAAAGGAAAGCGTTCTCTGTGCAGCTGTTGAAACTGTCCTTGTGCTGGAATCTGAAAAGGAGTGTTTTCTTTCATTTGCTTTTTTATGGCTTCAGTATCATGCTTCAGTATAATTTTAAGACAACAGATGAAGTACTGTGTAGTTGTGAATATTACCCAGADAGTGTTATCTGTGCAACAGGCAAATATTTAAYGATGATTTGAAACAAACCTTCAAATGACTCTGTTTTGGCACTTGCTGTTTCTTTCAGTAGAAACGACAGCTGTGATGGAAGGGCCACAGGTGTCTTTTGTGCGAGTGGCAGGACTGTAAATAGAAAAAAGTAAATCATTTTGATTAGCCTAAAAATATTAAAAAGCATCGGATTTATTTATATAGTGCCTAATCACAAGAAATGCCCAAAGCACTTATAATTCTACTTATCACACAGTAGTAAGCTCAAATTATTTAAAAAAGTTTCTATTTAAGGAAACCTAGCAGGCTTGCAGCAAGGTGATAAGTAAAAAATTTAAATATATTTTTATCACCTTTTATTTTCTGTTCATATAGCTCTGAAGTTCAAAAGGTACTCAAGATGCAGCTAAAGACAGTAAGGACATAAGATATAATGATTTATTTCTGTTTTTATTTACTGGTACTACAATCAGATCTACATTTAAGCATATTCTGGTATAAAAAATGATGATTTCACCTAACAAAACCAGACATTTTGTCAGAAGACAGTAAGGACACAAGATATAGTTTATTTCTGTTTTTATTTACTTGTACAACAATCAGATCTACATTTAAGCATATTCTGGTATAAAAAAATGATGATTTCACCTAACAAAACCAGACATTTTGTCAGAAGACAGTAAGGACACAAGATATAGTTTATTTCTGTTTTTATTTACTTG